AATTATACTTTTTTACTTTTAATACACTTGATTTAATATAACAAAATATAAACCTTATAAACATTAATAGTTTAAATTATATTATCGTATATAAATTCACGTGACATGTATAAATAATTACAATATCAATTAGAAAATTCGTGTAACCTTATCGGCCAATCACATGAAAGTCCTCCTATGAGATTGGAACTGGAACGAATCCTCACAATGTATGAAATTAATGGGGGGAATATCATTCAACCTTAGAAAAGTCAAGATCAAACGTTTTCTAAATATGGGTCCTTTGCGAATAGAAAGGTGGAAATTTGCTGGCGGTTTCCCCACTTGGAACCGGGAAAAACAAAAATTCATCCAAATACAGTGTAACATATATAAATTACGATAACGAAACACATATTTTGACGATTTCGTGTCTACTTTGGAGTCTTACATTTTTTCACCTTTTAATCTCTCATAAGAAAAACTAGTAAGAAAAATTCGATTGCAAAGTGAGGTTTAAAAACGGTCACAGAAATTTTCAACTATTAGTGGTTTTTTTTTTCCCCATAACAATTTTAATTAAATTTTTTATTTCAATTAATTTACGCATGTAATTAATTAATCAAATACATTCATTTACAGTAATTGAAAATGATTTCATTTTCTTATATATCTCTCACGTCATTTGTTCTTTTATTCTAAATGGCTGATAACAATAAATAAACTTTTATAATTTTATTAAGTAATGCCAGCACAAAATCTCTTTTTTGACCATTTTTTAATCGAACAAATAAGAAAAGGTTTGAATCATGTTTTGTGTACAAAAAGCCAAACTTTGCGAGATTTAATCTGTGAGACATTGATTCGAAGAATTATCAGAACGTTCTCTCTTTTTTTTTTTTTTCCTTGATCCGAAATATCTTTGATACAACCAATGTAAATTTAGGGGTCTCAACAATCCGTTGTAATGTAGTACGAAAAGCCCATATATTTTGTGATAGCATTTTTTCATGAATGAAAAAAAAAAATTTATAATTAATTACCGTGCATAGATATTTTGCCATTTATTTTATTGAATTATTTTTTTTTTTTTTGAATGCAAGCCACCCTGCAGAGATAGTTTACCATACATAAAATTCAGGGAGTTTAATCTATGCTAAAGGCAGTGTTGTGGTAGGACAACGTCCCAGCAAAATAGCTTGGACTTGGACGTCCAAGGACTGGGACTGTCTCAGACTGTCCCGTCCAAGGACATGCCCCGGCCCAGTCAAAACATTGAAGGCAATCTGAATTGCCTCAGGTTTTTTTAAGAAATTCGCTAATTTTTATTTTCTCGACATTACTTCGCATTAATTGCAATATTTTTTACTTGGAGTTTTTGTATGTACCCAAGGTGCGTTTTAATTAAAATATCATAATGGTCAAAGCGCAAACATGGTAGCCAAAATTAGCATATATGCTAGTCGGTTAATCAAAATCCAAAATTTTAATCAAAACCTTAAATATATATGGTTAGTTATTTCTAAAAGTTTAATTCCCCTTATTTCGATTTTTTTATTTTCTATATGTCACGAAAGGTTAAGGTATTGATTGGGGCGACGGGTAGTGTAGCAAGTATTAAAATACCCTTACTCGTAAAATCTTTATCACAGGTTCCTCCCTTATTTTCTCGTTTGATAAAAATTTCTTTTCTTACCCCCCTTCCCTTTATTTAATGAGCATTTTTGTCTTCATTACAATGTAGAAACAGAATGTTGAAATCAAAGTCGTATCAACAGATAGAGCATTACATTTTTTTGACAGGGAGGCTTTAACAAGGGATCTTGGTGTACAAGTTGTTACCGACATTGACGAATGGAAGGTTAATATTAAGGATATCAATTGAAATAATTTGTTACTTTTATTTTAAAAAATTTTATTGCTTAGGCATGGAGTAAAGTATCAGATCCCGTATTACACATCGAGGTGAGATTATTAATAGGATGATTTCCTCCCTTACTTTATATAGGAAAAATCATTATCGAAATTAAAAAGATTCTTGATATTTACTTTTATAAAGTATCGAAATTGGGCAGACTTGTTTATAATCGCACCACTTGACGCAAATACATTGGGAAAAATTGCGAATGGATTATGTGACAACTTGATTGTATGTATTTATATTCTCTACAGCCTTTCTTTCTTTAGTTCGTTTCGTTCATTTTTTTTTCAAAAAAAAAATAATTCCTTTGAATCTAGACGTGCATATTAAGAGCGTGGGATATGAACAAACCTGTCATTGTTTGTCCAGCAATGAATACTTATATGTGGGAACATCCATTCACGTCTAATCATCTTGAAATCGTAAAGGTTAAGTTAAAATTTGATGTGATTGATCCTATTAGTAAAAATTTAGCATGTGGGGATACGGGTGTTGGTGCGATGGCAGAAGTTGCGACGATTGTAGAATATGTTCAACAAAAATTGTCTTTAATAAATAAACAAGATAATATTTAAAAATAATTATCCACAATATGTTCGTTCAATGTGTGTTAATCAATCTTAACTAAAATGGTTCCAGCGTCAACGACATCCCCCTCTTTGACCAATATCTTTACAACACCTTCATGTCTAGAATACAATCTAACTTCGGTTTTCATCGATTCTATTGTTAATATTGCATCATTTTTTTTAACTTTTGAATTTGGATCCACCAATAATTTTAATATTTTACACGGCATTGGTGCTATATACGGTGAAACTTTCAATTAAAAAGGAATTAGCATAATGAAAATAATCAATTAAATAATAATAATAATCATAAAATCAAAAGACTTATTTTACCATCATCTTCCGTTGTTTCGGCTACCGTTTCAAGTTTTTTCCTTCTTATATATTTAATTTGTTTACCTAGTTCTTGACAATGAACGTAAACTTCTTGTAGGTGGCCATTTTTCGGTCCATTTGCAATTTCGTACACGCGTTGAATACCATCAATGGAACAACGCAAGGATCCATAAGTATTATCTAAAGGGAGAGAGAGAATATTGTTTGATTTCTTTTCACCATTAACTTAAATTCTACCCTGAAAATGACCTACCATCACTTTCATTCATCATGATCCCATGTAAGACTACACTTTTTCTTTTTCCTTCTCCTGATTTAATACAAATACTAAATTTATGATCCGTATCGTCAATAAATGATCCATCGATATTTCTATGATACTCATATTCCAATTCCAACAAAGTATTTTCTTTAAGATGATTTATGTAATACGCGTCTATCGGATTTTTACTTTTCAAATAACGCCATCCTGATGGGACATGTCGTAACGTAGTACGATTTCTCTCTCTTTGATACCATAACCATAAAAATGGTACAATGATTAATTCTCTCTCTTTTAAGTGAATTTTCAAAGAAAGGTCTCCTTGTTGAACAAAAAAGTCATGTTTTTCTATAAACAACGTATCATAAAAACCATTGATAAAATCAGGACTTTTAATTATACTTAATAAAAATGATTGATTTGTTATTAAACCCAACACTATTGTACTCTGTAATGCAAATGACATAATTTGTATAGATTGAGGTCTCGTTGGTGACCATACTGATATTTTTGATATTAATGGATCATAATATATAGATATTTCGGATCCTATATGTAAGAAGCATAAGAGTTTTTAACCCAATTTTTTTTTTTTTTTTAAAAAAAAAAGAAGAAAAGAATACCTGTTTCCACGCCAGTATCATAACGAATACTTGACACCAACAATTGTTTCCAATATCGTATTTTACCTGTGCTTGGAAGAAAATTGTTGTTTGGATCTTCTGAATAAAGTCTACATTCAATAGCATGCCCCTAAAAAAGTTAAATGCGAAATATTAAATTAAATTTCATGATGATCGTGAGTTGGTACAAGAATAATCTAATCATCTTACATTTAATTTCAATGTAGGTAATTGCGATTGTGATAAATCATATCCTAGGGAAAAATAAGAGAACTTCATTAAACGATCAAAAATATCAAAATCAAATCAAATAAACAAGTTAAAGCATATAAATAAATGTATACCCTGTGCCACTAATATTTGTAATTCGACTAAATCCAATCCTGTCGTTAATTCCGTAATAGGATGTTCAACCTGTAAACGTGTATTCATCTCAAGAAAATAAAATTTGTTGTCACCTTCATCCTTTAATAAGGGAAAAGAATTTTTTTTTTTCATGAGTAGGTTTAAACCTTAAATTCCAATTTCCATCTGTTAGTTAAGACACTACACTTACCACAATAAATTCAATGGTACCGGCTCCCTGATATTTAAGAAATTTACCAATTTGTATAGCTGCCGCGGTCATGCTCTCTCTTAGGGTTGAATCTAAGTGGGGGGAAGGTGTTTCCTACAATTTAAAAAAACCGACGCTTGTAATAAACTTATCATTATTAATCAAAATAGAAACACCTTCTACGTACCTCGATGACTTTTTGATGACGACGTTGTATTGAACAATCTCTTTCAAAACAATGGTAAACGTTACCATAATTATCTCCCATTAATTGTATTTCAACATGTCGTATTGTATCAAAATATTTTTCTATTAATAATTTATCCGAACCGAATGATCTAAGTGATTCCGATTTTGCAAGTTCTATTTCATCACGTAATCTAGATATACTATATATAATCAAGGAAAAAAAAAATTCCTTCTTTAGTATAATTAAAAAAGTACGATAAGGAAAATTTTGTTAAACATACACAACCTACTCTGATTCTCGAACAACGCGCATACCCTTGCCTCCCCCACCAGCCGAAGCTTTTAATAATACAGGGAACCCTACGCCGAGAATTGTTGAAATTAATCATGTGGGACTCGAATTTATAATGCAGTAGTACGTATAATTCATATAATTCATATGTGATGATTTTACCGATTTTAAGAGCTTCACGCACTAACACGTCTATACTTTGATCCGAACCATTATATCCGGGTATAAGAGGAACGGATGGAAGATGTTCAGCAAGTAAATTTTTGGCGAAAATCTAATTCATTGATTTTTATTAACAAAAAAAAAAAAAAAAAAAAAAATTTCCCTCGTATTTATTACCTTGTCACCGATAGCTAAAATAGATTCGGGTGAAGGACCAATAAAACGAATTCCCGCATCAACGGTTAACTTTGCAAATTCAGCATTTTCCGATAAAAATCCATAACCTAAAAAAAAAAAGGATTGATTTTTAAAAAAATGAATAAAAAAAAAACATTTTGAAAAGGAATTGTACGTTAATGAATTTTTACCGGGATGAATGGCGTCTGCTCCAACGCGTTTAGCTACCTCGATGATTTTATTCCCGTTTAAATATGAGTCTATCGAAGGTGAAGGACCGATGTGAATAGCTTCGTCCGCCAACTTTACGAAGAGAGCATTTCGGTCACTTTTTTTTTTTAAAAAAAAAAAAAAAAAAAATTAAAATTAAAATTTTAATTAGCAAAGTTCGAATAAACATGATATATAATACCTGTCGGAGTATATGGCAACCGTTGAAATTCCTAACCGGTTACAAGTTTTTATCACTCTACACGCAATTTCTCCACGGTTTGCAATTAGTAATTTTTCAATTAACATATTTATTTAAGAGAAGAAAAAGAAGGAAAAAAAAAAGTTACACGTGATAGATTTGTGAAACAAAATTTTAATACAAAACGCGTTCGAGTTATAGGTAAAACATTTTTGGTAATTATACAATGCAATTCATTAATGAACCAAGGTGGGAAATTGACTTTTTTAACGTTTCAAAAAAACAAAATAAATTAAAATAATTTAAACGCACATAAGGACCTTGTGTACAGTAAGCATTAGAGTTGTTTTTTTATGTGGGCAAATTTAAAACATTTGTGACCAAATAATTCGTGGGGAAAAGATATTTACATCTATTTATGGTGAATAATCTAAAAAAAAGGGGGGGGAACTTAATCAAGTGTCAAAAGTTCTAAACAATTAGTGTTACATATCACCATGGTATTTATACAATTACCATTTCCGTTAGAAATAACTATTGGAAAATGAAATTCTAATAAAGGAAATATCTAATTAACATTATGTTTATTTATTGGAGTGTAAGGTTATAAGAAATGAAATTATGAAAAATGATCCCTACAAGAAAAATGATAATATATTTATTTACTTTTTTTTGCCAACTAATCATAACGGCAGCACACTAACCATCATTTCAACCCGGATGGTTCGCCCTGGGAACACTACATATGTGTATATACTCCTTATAGTATATATATATATATACAGTATTTGTTATATCAGAACAGAAATTCTTTTTTTGATTTTAAAACTTCTTTTCTTTTCTTTTTTTAAATACAAATTTAATAAAAAGTTAAATCGCTCCTTTTCCCTTACCTTTTATCCCTATTTACTTGGACCCGAATCATTTTTTATTGATAAAACTATAATATTATATTATATAACATAAAAAAAAAAAAACTTTAATAATAGTTAACTTTAGAGCATTTTATAACAGTAGAATGAAAAAAATCTTATCGTATTTAATAATTTCCGTATTAATATGTAGCCAGAGCAAAGCACAACAACCATCATCACATGGTGAGTATTCTTAATAATAATCAAGCTTGTTTTTTAAGTTCATTCGAATTTAAGCTTAAAGTGTCTCCACTTTTTCTTCCGATAATAGCAACAACGGTAGATCCCGCATTAAAGGATCAATGGTGTAGTGCCACAATTGAAACGTGTCTTGCAATATGTAAAAATAGGAAAACTGTACCAGCGTCAAATACTTGTTCCCAATTAAATTTAGTAATAAATTGTTTATGTTCAGATGGTTATCCTCCAAATTTAGATAATTACGAAAATACGGTTTCATACTTTGTTTGTGAATATAATAGACTGGCTGGTCCTTGTACAAATACATGTTTTTTAGGTAATGATGTTTGTTATAAAAATAATGAATCACCACCTTCACCACCACCATCACCGGATGAAAATGTTGAAAAAGTACCACCGACAGTGCCGACAGTGCCGACAGTGCTACCATCGAAAGCACCCGCAGTTGAACCTGTACCTGTAACTCCCAAGGTACCAACGACCGACGAGTCAGGTAAATTAGTTGAACCCTTTTTTTTTTTTAAAAGTAAAAAAAATTTGTTTCTACTTCTCCAAATATGCTCAAAGTTTTTTTTTTTCTTTTTCCTTCCTTGATCTCTTTACCAACAGATAAAAATTCAAAAAACAAAAATTCTGTCGCGTTAGCGATTGGATTAAGTGCATCATTCTTATCAGCGATAATAGCGATATCATTGGTAATATGGGTTAGACGCAGACGTAAGAGATTACAATCAAAACCACCTAATTATTTCATCCCCGCGCCTAAAAGAAAAATCAGTAATCGTAGTCTGTGCGACGGTCCATCAGTGGGAAGAAGTTTAACATCATTAAGAGGAGGTCTAGTTAAAGATAGTAACGGAAGTATTGGTACAAATTCTTCATCAGGATCAATCATGCAGTCTCAAGAAAATAGTGATGGATCAGGCATCGTTATTACCAAAACTCATTCTGTTAGCGTACATCAAGACAATGATTATTTTGGTTCAAACTCTTTTTCACATTTAAGCGCCACCAACAGTATCGCTTCGGTTGATTATTATAATAAATTCGGTAGCGTTGAAAATTTAACCGCTGATCTTTCCGGAATGGGTGGCAAGGCTATCTATAAACCTGGTAATAGAAATAGTGGTGGTAGCGGTAGTCAAATTACTTCTAACGATGATAAATCTTATGCATACATATGATTGCGTTGATTTATACAAAAAAGAACTTTACACCAAAAAAAAAAAATCATTTTTTTTTTTTTATTTTATTTTTTTTTTTTTTTAAATAAATATTTGAACAAATTTACAATAGATGAACTCTACAAGATCACCCCAAAAGTAATTCATTTAACGTTTTTAATAATAATTCATTTTCTTTTGGTGTACCAACTGTAATTCTCAAACATCCTTCACATCCAATTTCATTTCCTCTGTATCTAACGACGATATCATGTTTCTCCGCCATTTCTTGATAAATATGATACGCTCTATCATTATTAACGTTTTGATTATTCCTATCCAATATTTGTACCAATATAAAATTTGCATCATTTCCTCCAAGGATTTTTCCGATCCCAGGTATTGTTTGAATCGAGGAAATAAGTTTCATGTGCTCGTCACGAATCTGCTGTTTGATTAATTTCATGTTTGAAATGTTTTGTGTTGATAACGCCGTACACGCTACGTGCGATGTTAATGCGCTTATGTTATATGGCGCTTTGGTGTTATTCATTAATTGAATTATGCGTGGATCTGCAATTGATATACCAAGTCTATTACATGCATGAAAAGGAAAGGGGGAGGGGGATGTTAACATGAATTTTAACTTTGAAAACCAATTACTTTTCATTCGAAAAGAATCGAGAAAAAAAATAAAAAAAAAAAAAGGGTAAAACGTTACCTAATGCCGGCTAATCCAAAACTTTTGCTTAAAGTTTGCATGATGACAAGGTTAGGATACTGTGTCACCCATTTAACCAAGCTACCATTTTGATTCTTTTCTTCAACAAAATCAATATAAGCTTCATCTATAACCACTATTCCATTATAATTCTCATCTTCTAATATTGGTCTAATTGATTCATGTGATAACACTGTGCCCGTCGGATTTCCCGGCGAGCATAAAAAAATCATCTTAATATCCTCATTCTCCCTTACGGCTTTCAAGATCTTTTTTTTTTTTTAAAAAAAAAAAAAATTTAGAAAAATCAAAAACTTTTAAAGAAAGGAAATAAATAAAAAATAAAAAAATCGGTCATCACCTCGTCAGTTTTTAATTGAAATTTACCATCTTCAACATCCAAGTTAACCTTAACAATACCAACATCATTGATATTTGCACAGACCGAGTACATTCCATAAGTAGGTGGCGTAATCAATAACTTATCTTTTCCTGGTACACAAAATATCCTTATAATTAAATCAATGCATTCATCCGATCCCACCCCTAAAAAAAAGTAATCGATACTAGGTAACCCTCTAAATTTCATTAATCGTTCTTTAATATTCACTTGATTGGGATCAGGATATCTATGAAGTTTTTCTATCCCGGAATCATCCTTCTCTTTATCCTCTTTAGAATGAAAAGTTAATTGAATCTCATTTTTTGGTAATATCATTCCAAATGAATTTTCATTCGCATCTAATAATATTCCCGACGAATAATCATCTCGAGCACATCTATAAGGTTTAAGTGCTAATATATTTGGTCGAACTACTGATTCTAATGAAAAAGTTTTCTTTTTATTAATCGACATTTTTTATTCTTATTCGATTTATTCTACTATTGATCCGGCACTTCCTATCGCTACTTAAAGGTATCAAATTTTTAATTGCTGGTCCTGTGCCCTTTTTTTTTTTTAAAGCAGAGAAAGAAAATTTATTTATACTTTTTGACGTAACACGAGGTGCTAAAATAAATCAGCATAGCCATTGAAAAAAACAAAACGAGTTTTTTTTTTTTTTTTCCATGACAAGTAATTAGTCAAATCGAAAAAGATCTACGGGGATCTACGATAAGATTATCTCTTATCTCGAAAATTTTTCCATTCAATAATAATATTTTTTTTAAAAAAAAAAATTAAAAATGGCCTCAAAATTTAAATTGCCTAAATTACCTTCAAAAAAAGTGTTAGGTTTTTTTGGTACCTGTGCTGGTATAATATCATTAATTTATCGAGATAATAAATTATCAGATGAATTTAAATCTCGTGTGGAAAAAAAAGTTTCTCATTTAGCTTTGGAGCCTTTAAACGTACATGATTTGCCTAGAAAAGTGACCGTTTACCTGGCCCGTCCCTTAGGTGATGATATATATAAAACTAAAATACATTTCCGTGAGTATGTAAAGGTATATTGAAAATTTCTCTTTATTATCTTTTTTTGTAACCTAAACTTTTTTTTTTAAAAAAAAAACTTCTCACCCATAATAATTTAGCCCGTTCTCAATGCTGCTGCTTTGGAATATGATATCGTTGAAGGTACGCGGCCAGGACAACTTCGTTCAAAAGTACGAGACGCAATAAGAGAAAAACGTAAAAAAGAATTACCATCATCACAACAACAATCATCTTTATCGAATCAATTATCGGATTCTGATCAACCATTTAAAACCATAACAGCTTCAAAACCAATTGGTAATGGTACTATAATTGTAGGTAGAGTAAGTTTGGTTGAATATTTACAAGGATTAAATGATGGCTGCATTGCTTCTTTGGAAGATCCTTCTCCTGAGCAATCGAAATCTGATTCAAATGCTTCACAAGATGCATCAAAGGATGAACAAGTCTCACAGGAAAATGTTAAGCAAAGCGATGACAGTGATAACAAATCTGAAAAACCAGAAATTGAATTCACCATTAATGAAGATGAATTCTCTGTACCAGAGTTAGACTCAATAGGTTATGTCCGATTTTATAATAGAATTGGTTGGAAAAATATTCCTTTAAGACTCTATTATGCTTTTAATTCTTATAAAGAATTTGAAACAGTTTCCGAAGATGTGGTGAAGATAGCTCTTGGAAATACAAGAAAATTTAAAAAAGATGATTTAAATCTCGGTAAAGATGAAGAAAAATTTTTTAAAGGAACATTAGATGAACCAACCTTAGATGAAAGAATCCTTTCAAAGCTAACAATATACACGTAAAAATTTCAGTGTGATAATTTATTACATTATCAAGTTTAATGATAATCAAAAAAAAAAAATAAAATGTATGGATTATCACTATAATTCGTGTTTGTCATTATATTATTTATTTATCAAAATCTATAAAATTCTTTAACTCCTTAACCCATCCTTGCTTACATTATTAATCCATTTTAGCATTATATTTCTATACAATCACTAAACTGTGAGTGACTTATTCAATATCGTTATCGTTATTGTTATTAAACTGTTTTCGATACATTTCTGCAATCTAATGACAACAGTAAGTTAATATAAATAGATGTAGATATAAAAAAGATGTTTTGATATTTAAATAATCGCTATTACCCCTTCACTGGTAGTTGCGTCTTCTGGTTTTTTATCATCACGTATTCGAATGAAACGAGGAAACCGTAAAGACACACCCTTAGATGAATCAACCTACCAAAATAAAAAATCATGTTCAAATATCATGTTCTAATGAATTTCCTAAAATCTAATCATACCTGTCCTATCGCCGCCTTATAAATTGGAGAGATGCTAAGATCTGCCGTCTTGACTTCCCAAACTTGACAAGGTTCAAACCAAACATCAGGTTTGGTTGCCTTGTCATAATTAAAATAACTTTTGGGTTCAGACATTTCTTTCTCTTTTAGATACTGAAAATGTGTCTCTAGATCAGAATCGGAAAATCCGGTACCAATCTTACAGATAGTCTGGTATTCATCATTTTCTGGATCATAACAAGCGAGAAGGAATGCGCCATAAACATTTGTACGCTTTCCACGCCCGTAAAATGCGCCTATTACAACCAAGTCTAAAGAGTCTCCTACACCGCTGAGATAGTCTTTTTTTAACTTGATGATTACAAAAAATTAAACCGAGATTTCTTAGATAAAAGAACATGAATAGTTTATACGTGAAAGAAATGAGTTTACCTTTAACCAATTCCTCGACCTTTTCGAAGGTTCATAGGTTGATTCCGCACCATCAAGTATTTTCACCATTAGACCTTCACAATTTACTTTAACACTTTCTTCTAGAAAAGCCTGTATTTCCTCCGTATTTGAAACATTCATATGTTGCGCAAAGGAAAATTCGTCATCAACTTTTTGAAACGAGTCGTGCAAAAGTTCGCGTCTTTCCTTAAGAGGTTTCTTAAGAAGCGACTATAAATTGGTAAACACAACGATTATCATTACGTGTTTATATATACATGATTTAGTTGTAATTTTTATGGCTTACTAACCTCTCCATTCAGATACAGCAAATCAAATGCAAATAGACATACTGTGACTTTTATTTCGGATTCTATGACATCTTTCCTTTTACGTGTACTCAAAACTTGAAAAGGAAGAAGGCTATGTTTTTCTAAATCCCATGCTACAACTTCACAATCAAGTACAAACGAATTGGTATTAGGGTTTACAGCCTATTAAAGAATGGTAGAAATAATTTAAAGTTTTGTTATTATATAATCATATTCTTTGACAACTCACCTTTGATATTCTCTCAATAACATCCGGATATTTGAAAGTATTGTCTTCTAAATTGCGGCTATAAATCTTAATGTTCCCATCTTCAAGTTTATGAATCTAGATAATAACGATAAAAATGCTTTTTAAATGAACTTCCCAATACTTTTACACGTTATTTACATAGTCACATACCTGTCCACGTTCACCATCATATTTGAACTCACAAGTAAACTTGTGTCCCTCCACCCTGTTAAGAACTTCGGTAATACTTTTTGTCGGATGAGCCAACATAGGTTTAAGTGGAATACCTTAAGTAAATAATAGGGTTATTATTATTTGTTATGAATCTTTCCATGATCATTAAAGGATTACTCATTACCAGGTGTCAATTTACAATGTTCCCTTAGATTTCTAACACCACTTTGCAATAAAGCGGGAACAATCTTATCATATGATGGAAGTTCACTTTAGGCGCGATATCAAACATTAGTCTTGACATGAGTTATAAACTTGATATTAAGCCATTAAAAAAGATACAAACCTATACACGGATTTGATAATGTTGGGTGCTTCCGTTAATTCCTCAGCTTTTTTAGCTTTCGTTAGTTTTTGGTATTCTAAAAAAATTATTAAAAAGTTAAATTATCATGTTTTGATTTATAATAATAACAATATTATTATTATTAACCATTATCGGTAATAACGAACGCCTGTGCCAAACAAATCAAAACCGTTTGCTCGGCTAATCCAATGCGAAGTTTTCCTTCGAGAGATCTATTTCAAACGTAAAATTTTTTTTGTTAGTGTAAATACACACCAAACACGTAAATTTTATGAATCGACTCACCTGATTAAAAATTTTGCCTCATCACCTCTACAAGATTTAAGCAAGTTTTGGATTTCTTTTACCTTAGAATCTTGCGACTTAAAAAAAAGTAATCATAAAAATATGTCATAAATTCAAAAATCGTAGATCTATTTATATTTAAAACTAAGGATAATAGGTATTACACTATGTCCAGATAAAGAGGCGATCTTTTTCATTGATTTAAAGACTCCGGGGATTGTTAAAGGCTTATCTACGCTACCAAACATGCTTGATATACTTTTCTGACTGTTTTTACTATCCTGAAAACGTTAACCAAATTTAAAGAATTAAACATAACTTTAACAATTTGCTATGAAATAATTTTCCAACTTACCTTGGCGACTTTTCCCAAATCCCCTACTTTTGCTAGCTCATCTTTGACCTTTTGTGGTGACCTTCCTGTTACTCCAGCAATTGCCTTTATCAACAAAGATTCTCCAATACCTAACTCCACGCTTTCATATTCAGGGCAAACCTGAGATGAGGAAATTCATAATTAAATAATCTATAAAAAATACAATCTGTATCTACAAAACAATTATCATAATTGGCTTATGAGATCCTACCTTATTTAGACAGAGATATAAGGTTTCTAACAAATTTTCTGGACTTTTTTCGATTACACACTTGAAAAATGAAGTTAAATATTCTTGAATTTCTAGGCGTTTTGTGGTTGAATCGATATCTTCAAAAGTTTTACATAGCGCTGAGTATGGAATACTAAAGATAAATGAATATGATGATAAAATATATTTTCGTAAAATATTTATAATGACGGTGATATACTTACGGTTCACCTTTTTGCCAATCAGCAACATCTTTCATGCTCTTTTGGTCAACCCTGATCACATAATTTTACGTGTAAACTTAATTACGAAATTTGCAAAGTATAAATAATATAAAATGACAAATCTTACAATTTTTTGACCGAGGCTTTAATGGCTTTCTTTTCCTTTTCTTCATTTTCAACCTCCATATCATTTTCATTATTTTCATTATCAAGCTTGACCTTTTTAGTATCAATTCCATTATCTGATTCTTCATCGGAAGCAACGATGATACGTTTTTTCTTTGTCTCTTTTTTTCCATTTTTTGAAGAAATAGATTCGTTTAGCTCTCGTTTGAAAAAATTACTTTGATAGGAAGCAAGACGCGACTTGTTAAACAATGGAAAGTATTTAAATAAATAATAAAATAAAATATTCTTACCTGACTTTAGCTTGTTTCGGCATTTTAAAGGCAGGAAACGGTGTGATATGAAATGACACAGAACTATGATTTTCTAGTCTCAAAGATTTGATTTCAACTAAAGTTCTAGATTTTAACGCGAAACGAGTTAATACCATGTGACCGATTTTTCTGCGTAACCACATTTTTTAAAATTTTTCGATGATCCTAAAAGGGTATAAACGTGCATGACAATTTATGTCCTTACAGAAGTCACGAGATCTTCTGATTTAATTTAAGCGTGGGGCCAGAGACCTGGAAAAATTCCGATATCAAATCATAAATTTTTATCACGATTATTACTATTTTGATTATTAAAAATACATCATAGTAAGATATTCAAGTGATCCCGGACTTAAATTTTGCCTATTATCATCTAAAATGCGGAAAAACTCCTTTTTACCACATAAGAAGAGATTGGCAACCATATATAATTACGTGAAGTTGTAATGTAACTTTATCCCAAAATTCGTCCAGTTCGGAAAATTCCATTATCTTAGTAACTTAATTATTTGGATGTATAATCAAAACTTAAATTGTCCTTCTACTCGAAAGATTTTATATTAATTTTTTCCGCTGATCTGTGATTATTATTGGTTAATTGTCACGTGTCATAAAAATCTTATAAAAATGGAATTTTCCGGTGGGGGCCCATCCCCTATTCAAAAATTCTTTGTTATAAATTCATGTTTTCAAAAATAACTTGTTTTATTAATGTATGCCTTATTCCTGATTTGGTTATTATCATAAAATCATAAAACCATTTTTTGAGTTACGTAATCACGTAATAAATAGATATATGATTAGAACTTGCTAGAAAACGACACTTTTTTTTTTTCCACGTTAATTTCAAATTTTCAACTTTTTTTTATAAAAAAAGATCCACATGAAGGCTTTTAAAAGTCTTATTTATAATGAATTTAGTTTTATTTCAATTTTTCTATTGTCAATTTCTTTCTTATTTTTGCCCTGTACTATAGAAGCAACTGATCCAGATATCTTGAAGCATGTTAATGCGTTAGATAACGGGGAAACAATAACCGTTTCTTTGAAACATATATTTCACCATGGCACTTCAAAGTTTCCTAATTTATTTCGTCGTTTGGACGTAACAGAAGAAAATCTTCGTACTCAGGAACTCGCCTCCGGCACGTCTTTCACTTATGATGTCATGGGTGTAAATGGCACCGGTTTTGAATATGAAAAAGAAAATGCCGTAGAAGAGTTTAGGAATATATCAATGAACGAACTCAAGTCATCTAAGCTGAATTGGAGAGATATAAAAAAATGGTTACCTGCTATAAGGAGTTGGAGTACTTTAATCAATCTAGCTAAGATGACATATAATGCTTACATCGAGATGGGCCAATCTGATTGGTATGATCTTGGTGAAGAATATAGAACGGTGTGTTTGTTTTTATTTTTCTTTTTATTCCTACCTCCTATAAATCGGTAAAAGCTTTAGAACACCCTATCTATGAATCAATATGTTCATTTGAAAATTCATTGCCTACTTAACCATAGAATGATACGTTTGGATGGGACGAAGATGGTATCCGAGGTTATGTCTTTGCTTCATCAGACAATAAGACATTAATCATTTCGATTAAAGGAACCAGTATGGGATTTGGTGCTGGTCCAACTGTTCCCAGAGACAAAGTTAATGTAAGTTATCTTCTTAATCCGTAAATTAATTTACCATGCGATTTACTAATATAAATTATTCATATATTCAGGATAACCTTTTGTTTTCTTGTTGTTGTGCTAAAGTAGATCGTACATGGACTCCAGTTTGTGATTGTTATTTGGGCGGCTACAGCTGCGACAAAGATTGTTTACAAAGCAGCGTGGACAGAGAAAGCTTATATTATGACGTTACTTTGGTAAATACAAAGTATATAAACAATCTGCATATCTTTCTTATATATATATAATATTTTTTTTTAACAATTCATTTAATATTTATTTTTTAGAAACTTGTTAATAAAATTTACAATGATTATCCCAAATCACATATATGGCTAATAGGTCATTCACTTGGGGGAGCACTTTCTTCTTTAATGGGACTAACATATAATTTACCTGTGGTAGCATTTGAATCACCTGGCGAAAGGAGGGCAGCAGGTTTATTACATTTACCTCACCCACCGGCCATACCATGGGATAAAATGAATATTTATCATTTTGGCCACACGGCTGATCCTATTTATATGGGGTCATGTAATGTAAGTTGATTAACTTTTATAATCATTTTCAATTAAGAATTCTGTATTTTAATAGGGACTTTTGACGCTCATAGGGTATTACAAGTACATGCTATATTGGTGGATACGCTGTAAGTGCAATAACTTGGTTCCGGACCTTTTTTTTTTTTGCATTATTCATTAGCTCACGACTTTTCTTTTTATAGATGGAAACAAAGTGTCATGCTGGAATTGCATGTACTTTTGATACAGTAGAGAAATTAAAGTGGAGTGTTAATATTAAGAGACATCGTATTCAGGAAATTATTGATAATATTTTGAAAGTTTGGTGGAAACTTTTCGAATTATTTCCTGATTGTAGAAATGATGACGAATGCGATGATTGTTATCTTTGGGATTATGTTGAATAATGAAAATTTTATGAGTCTGTATTTATATAGAAAGTGAACATTGTACTGAATTTAATTAATATTATTAGATCAATTATTTATAATAATAAAAAATTAGTTGTATTTTAAACAAAGAATCAATTTTTATTACTTTTAATAAATATTAAAAGGGCTATGTCTAATAAAAAAACTTACATTACTTTGATATTTTAATTTATTAAGATAATCCATAACCTTTAATAATTCATCATCATTTTCATGTTGAAACTTTTTCCTAAATGAAATTGGATGTATAGCATTAAAAGGTTGTAGTCTAGCCTTAAGCAAAGAATCGTCGATTAAAATAGTATTCATTTGATTCCATGTTTCCTCGGATTGCCAAATTTTATTTAAATTTTTCACAATATTACGAGATTTATCAAAATATTCAACTTTAGATAAGTCTAATTTATCTCTTGTCCAAATATCTAATAATTTAGTTTTATGTTGATCAAAAACTTTGTCTACTAAATAATAAACGGTCATAGGTCTAGCTGTAGACCAAATCATTATTTTAAAATAATCTTCATTAGAAAATAAAAAGTCTAAAAAATCATTTAGGTTTGGGCGTAAATGAATTTTACCGACCGGATATTTCGATCCAAAATTTTTATCTCGATATATTAATGTTCCATTGATATCTAGTATTATTAACTTTTGTTTAGGTTGAGATAAGTGTTGCGACGGTTTAGATGAATTTTCAAGATATGTCGGTGATAGATGTGATATAATTGGTCGTTGAATTGGTAAAATGATGGAAGATGAAGATGATGAAGATGATGGCAAAGATAATTTTAAAGTTGAAGATTTGGATTTTAAAGATGATTTGAATTTTAAGGATGATTTTGAAGTTTTTGATTTTGATGATGATTTTAAGAGAGTAATTAATCGGGTTATTGCTGATTCCATAAGATTTGTAAAAAAAAAAAATAAATAAAAATATGTATATTTTGGTATATGATCGATCGATAAGGAAAGATTCCGAAAATAAATAAAATAAAATTATCTCGGTGAGGTAATGATATAATTAATTGACAATCACACGTGCCAGAATTATCATAATTACGAAATATTTTGGTCTTATTCCGAAATGAATGAAGTAACGATGATACATCACTGATTTTCTGTGGCTTAATAATTTTATTAATTCTATATATATATTCAACGAATTTTTCATTTTTTTCTCATTTAAAAAAGTTTTTTTAAAAATCGAAATGGCGTCTTATGCTGAAGTTACTAAAAGAGATGCTTCTGAAAATTTAGAAGCCGATATTATAATTAAAAAAAATGACTCAAGTAGATACCACCAAGAACAAACCACCGAAGATAATTACTCGGAAAATCGGGATGCAACTATATACGATAAAGACTTTCTGGCGGGTTCAAGGGAAGTCGATGAACTTAAAAAAAGGTTTCCCGAAGATGGGAATTCGCGTAAAAGATCAACAAGAGGTGGTAACAAAGTTTCTAAAATGTCAAAACCCGTTGTATTTCTTGCCGTAGCTGTTGATATCGCTTTGGCTGGTGTCTTGGTTGGTTGGGTATATAAAAAACCTACTATTGATAGAATTAAATTCGGCTTTAGTACAATTGGTTTATCTTTATTTTATGGATGTCAATGGTGAATTGATCAAATTTTTGTTTTATTTTATTTTAACATTTGCATTTCAATATAATCTAATCGTTTTTAATTTCGACATTTCACAGGATTGGTTATCGAAAATATTCAGAATCTGATAATTAATTATTTATTTAGCATAAACAAATTATAATAATACGAAAGTTTTTAATCTTTAATTATATAATTTCGAAATCAAGTTTAAGATTTGTTTTTTTTTTAATAAAGATTCTCAAATTAAATAGATAAAGAATTAAAGTTCATCTTTACTATTAAAAAAGTCAAAACCTGTTTTAATGCAAATAATACTATAAACTTTGTCTTGTTTTTAATTAATCATATTTAATTATTTTTATTAAAATAATTTTAATTAGTATTATTAGAAGTGGTTTTTCAATTAGTTGATCAGATTATCAAATATTTTAATACAAATAATAAAAAAGAAAATATTTTTGAATACTATTAAAAAAAAAATTTTTTATTTAATATTTATAATCAAAAACATTGTTAATTATCTTTTTGATTTAATTCTTATAATTGATTTTAATAATTAAAGTAATTAATAAAGAGATTTATTATTAGTAATTATACTTTTATCTATATTTTTCAAAAAAAAAAATATTAAAACAAAATTAAAAAAAAAAATTTTTAGTAAAAACATTTTACTTAATTAAATCTTATTTTATTAAATAAAATAATGTATTTTGTTTAAATAAATATATTAAATCATGGTTTAAATTTGAAATAATATATAATTAATAATTATAATAAATTTGAATCTTTTATTGATAATTCAAAATACAGTCAACTCTTGATATAGCGAACTCTTGATATAACGAATTTTTTGAACAAATATAATAAAAATACTCTTGTTATAGCGAATTGGCCAATCAAATCTCTTAAAATCTTCACTATAGCCTTATAGTGAAGTTGAGATCTAAGACATAGAATTCGTTATAACAAGAGTTGACTGTAATTCAAAACTTATATATTATTTTAATAAAACCAAATTTTATAATTTTTAAAATATACTATAAACTTTATTCTTTTTATTAGTAAGTAAATTTCAAATGAAAATTATTAATAGACTATAATAATTAAAAATAATATTATAATATTAAATATTATAATATCTATTTATTACCTATTGTAACTAATTATAATGTTATTTTTAAAGATAATAAATTAAAATTTAACTTAATAAAAAAAAAATTTTTATTTAAACAATATATATTAGTTTTGATTAAAGATACAAATATATTATAATATTATAGCCTTATATTATAACATATATAAGCTGTAATAAAATTATAACTTTTACTAAAATCTTCTATATAATTATATATCATAACTAAAATAAATGCTATAACTATAATCATATACTATAATTATATCTATATGTTATAATTATAGCTATATATTATAAATAATATAATTAAATAATTTTTATATATCATAATTATAAGATTTAATTTTATTAAATTTATATTATATTAATATAAAAATAAAAAATATTGTTATAAAAAATTTATTATTTATTTATTAATAAATTTGATTATTTTTATAATTTTACCTATTATTTATATATTGAAAAAAAAATTAACTAATCTTTTTAGATCATTTTCTAAATTAAAAATATCTATAATATCTTAAACTTTTTATTCATTACGTAATTTATTATTATCAAAGTTGTAATAAAAGATTTATACAGTCAATACTTGATATAGTGAACTCTTAATGAATTTTTGAATAAATATAATAAAAATACTCTTATTATAGCAAATTAGCCAATCAAATTTCTTAAAAGTCTTTACTATAGCTTTATAGTAAAGTTGAGATCTAAGACATAGAGTTCGTGATAATAAGAATTAACTGTAATATCTTTTAAGTTAATATATCACTAAATGGATTAATATTAAAAAGATTTGAATTAAAAATAATATTTTTTTCTAATTGTAAATTTATTACATTACCTATTAAATAATCATTTGTTATTTCCTTTAAATTCTGAATAGTTGATTATTTTTATAATATACTATTCTTTTTGATATTAATTAAATAATAAGATCAAATTTTTAATATATTTTCAAATTTTTAAATGCTAAGTCTAATTTAATATTATCAATAATCTATTTGAATATTGAAAAATTCTTTTTACAACTAATTTAAGAAATAATAATTTCAAAAATCAGATAGCAAGTTTAGCTAAATATCTACATTTATTTTAATTGATCTTTATCATAAATTCAAAGTATTTATATTTTAATATATAGATTTAAATTAGATATAAATTAACATAATTATACAATTAATTTATAATATTTTTGTTTATTATGATTAAGATTTTACTATAATTTAAAAGCAATTAAAATAGCATTCTATAGGTAGACTTTTTTATATTTAAATATTATAGATCAATTTAAATTAGGTATTATTTATATAGTTTAAAGTACTTTTTAAAAAATGATGTTACATTTAGTAAAAAAAAGTTTTTATTTACAGCTTGATTCTTTGGAATATTAAATAACTGCTTGCAAAATAATTCAAAATAATCTGATTTTAAAAGAATTTGCTTAGAAATAACATACTATAATAATAGCCTAAAGGTCTTTATATTATTATAAAACTTGTTTTAAAATTTCTAATAATCCAAAAAAAGTTTTAAAACTTGTATTTAAAAAGTTAAAAAATTTGAAATACTTCTTATATAATATGAAAAAAATAAAATTATTAAATAACTAATAATTTATTATATTTTAATTTATTTTTATTACTTTACGAAAGATATAAAATATTATATATTATTATTATATATCAAATTTATATATAGTTTAGATCATGTAATTATATTTATTAGTCATTTTTGTTGATTATACTATTAACCCTGTTCATTTCTGAATCAAATCGCTCAAATTGGTAAAATTAATAACCAATAAAATTGTAGCTATAATTGAACACAATTTTTTGATCAAATCAATAGTTTTTTTTTGTTTTATTGGTTTTTAACAAGTAAATTTGTCAATAATTATGTATTTTCATCATTTCAACCTTCTTTTTCAAATTGAAAAATATTATTAGAAGTATCTTTTTCACTTTTTTTTTATAAATTTTTGGTTTAACAGGTATTAAAGTAGTATTAGTAATAGGTTCAATCAGTAATAATAAATTAAAAGTATGTAAAACTGAGTTGGAGATTGTTATAACTATAATGTCTAGATCTTGTATAAAATATTCTTGTAGTTTTAGAACAATTAAATGAAAGGTAAAATTTGAGTTAGACATTTTAAATTAAACATAACAAATTTTAAAAAAAATTGCATTTATTGTTATCTTTTAAAATTGGCTAATCTGAATTAATTTATTAAAAATTAATCAAGGTAAGTAACAAAAATATTGATTGTATTGATTATTCACCTGATCATTTCAGTAGCCAATAATCTTTAATTTCAATTTTTAGTCAATCAGGTCTGATCTAGAAATGAATAAAACTATTATAGAAATATTGATTAATATTTTTAACTAATTAGAAAAAAGTTTTTCTATGAAAATATATTTCTAAATCTTCTATTATATAAATTATAACTTATATATAATTAATAAATAAATTAATATATAATTTAAAAATAATATTTATAAAAAATAAAACAAATCTCAATATAGAATAAAAAAACAAAATAAATATGCTAAATATTAAAATATAATATATCATTAATTAAAAATATAAATTGTTAAATTTTTAAATAGATTTAAAATAGATAATTAAAAGATTATAACTGCTAATTTTATTATTTGAATAAAGAAGTTTGCTAAAATTGTTATACTTACTTTAAGTATATTAATACATTCTTTAAAAGAAATTTAAATTAATCAAATTTTACAACATATAATAAAAAATTTTTCATCTTCTAGTAAATTATAAATATTAAAATTTGAATAAGATCAAAATGTTTTAATAATATTTATTAAATAAAAATATATATATTAAATAAAAATAAATTAATTAAAACTTCAATAATTAAATTAAATATTTATTATCAATTAAAAATAGATCTTATACATAAAATAAAATTAGTAATTATATATAGTAATTCTTATTATATTTTTATTAAATTTTTAAACTCTTAGATTTAATTTGCATTTTTGTTAAATATTGCTATAAGATTGAACCTATTAGATAAAAATATTAAAAAATTTAGTAATTATATCACAATCCTTTATATATATAAAATCTGCAACTATTAAATTAATAGATTTTACTATATATCTAATATCTTAAATATAAGGATACTTTTTTCAATTTTTTTCATGAGTAATATGACAAGCTAAAATTGTATTTATAATAATAACTATAAATTTATTTGATTTAAACTTTTTGATAATAGTTAATTTTATTAGTAAGAAAATTTTTTATATTTAAATAGTTATTTATACTATTAAATATTATTTTTTGATAATATAATTATAATAAAATTATATAAAGATTTATTTCTTTTTAAATCTAATTATCCAAAGTTAAATTAAAATAAAATTAAATTCTTAATATATTATAAAATATAAATTTCAAATTTTAAAAACAAATATTAATATATTTATTAATATATTTATTTAATATTATCATCTTCTTCATAATCTTCTAAAGTAATTAAAATACAAAAACAATTCATTTCATTTTTTTTTTTTTAATGAAAATAATTTATTGTATTAAAATTAATAGTAATTATTAGAAAAATTCTAAAAGATCTTGGTATAAATAGACTTTAAGAAAAATTATTTAATTTTAAATATTAATTATTATAATGTTCTTTAATAAATTAATTAATAATTTGATAATATTTTAAGAGTAATAATTAATTTATTTACAAATTCTAAATAATTTTGATTATGGCTACTTACTATATCTATACTAATATAAAAAAATTGATTATATAATATATAAATTTCAAAATATTCAACTATATTATTTCAAAAAGGTTCACTTCTGTGTGATAAATTATTTAATATATAAAA